AAAAAAAAAAAAAAAACGTTGAGAGAATGTGCAGAGATGCGTATCCAGGGATAGAGGCCACTTAGTGGCGATTATCAGGTCAAGCAGCCTAGGGTGTCCCCTGCCTCCCAGCAGGGGAGTGACAGCTGGGGCCTGCTCTGGCTCCATCCGCCATTAATTAAAATTTGACACAAAGATGAATGCACTGGGGCAGCTTTTATTAGAGACTTCTGGAATGCCAGTGTTGGCATGGTCTCTAGAGACTGAGCCTGCCAGTCTCATTATATAAGTGGGGAAACTGAGACCTTGAGAGAGGCAAGAACCAGCCTAAGGCTCTTCAAAGGCACCTTTGGCTGTGGAGTCAAGGAGTCCAAGTGACTCCCTGGCCAAGCCTCTTTCCTCTGCTCTGGGATCTCTCACATATGGGACAACTTTAATTAACTTATTATCCCATTCAGCTTGTCACTGATTCTCAGGCCCCCAGCAAAGGGCTACAGCTAAAGCTCCCTTTGTACAACCTCTGTCTGGCCCCAGGGGGCTGATGGGATAAGGACAAAGACTGAGGATCCCAGGGCAGCTGAGTTTGACCACCTCTTTCCAGGTTCCAGGCCAGACAGGACTCTGAGCTTGGGAACCGGCAGCTCCAGGCATCTTGCCTGTAGTAGTCTGTGTCTAGATGTCCCTCAAAGCCTCATCTGGTTATAGGTGGGGATTTTTCAGAGGTGGCTGGATCTAGAGTGTGTGACCCTGGGATTGATTCATGGAGCAGTGCTAGGCTCAAACACACTAAGATTAAGGGTGTGAGTGCTACCCGCCCTAAGTAGTCTAGACAAGATAAAGTGATGGAAAGACACTGTTAATGTCCTTCATTGCTTTTGCTACCTTGTGGGCACCATAAACTGCTCTCTGTGATGCTCCTCTGCCCGGCCATGCTGCCTTGGAGCTAGCCCATTATGGACTGAAACACTGACAAACTGAGAGCCAAATAAACCTTCCTCCTCTAACTTGTGGGTGTTAGGTATTCTGTCTCAGCAACAAGAAAAGTACTTAAGACATTGCCTTTGCCTTTTTCACTGGAGGGGGTGGGAATATCACCCATCAGTGATCCCAACCCCTCAATTTGCAAAGTGTTATTTGAGATCTGAACTGAGATTTCCATCCTCCCCAGTGGGAGGGGTCTATTCTTTGAAAAAAAATGCTTCTATTTTTCTTTAAACCAAACCGAATTCCTTGTGAGAATATTGACACAGTGCCTCAGTGCACAGGGCCAAAATGAAGTTCTCAGCCCCTCTCCCGCAGCACTAGCCACCCGGAGTTGCTGTTTGCTGTCAAAGCTGTGAGACTCCTCCTCCCCAGCACGTTTGGGCCTGTGGCATTTGTCCTGTGGTCACCATCTGCCTTCCTTCTAAGGGAGCTTCAGGGGAGCAGGGCAGCAGGAGAGAAGAGGTCAGCGAGCGATCCTCCCCTCTGCAGCTTGTTTCAGGCAGCCAGCCAATTAGGGCCAGCATCTTGCTGGTTGGGTGCCTCACACCAACTGGAAAAACATGCCCCTCTGGGCAGGCAGTGTAGTGTCAGGCACTCCTCCTTCAGGCCTGCCTTAACATCCAAAGGGTCTCCCTCCTCTGTCCCTGTGTCCCATGTGTCCACGGTGCTGTCGCTGTTTCTGCCAGACTCCCACCATCCCAACCTGGAAGTCCAGCTGCCCCTGCCACCTCACTAGTCTCCCTGCTCCTTTCTATCCCTCCAACACCGCCACTCCACCCCACCCCAGCTGCTGCTGCCAGATACAGTGTTGTCTTAGGCAAAGTAGCTTCTATCCCTTCTAGGCCAAGCTCCTCAACTACTTCCTCCTGTTTGATGTCAAAGCCATGCTCAGGGAGCATTTAAGGACTTTAACTGTCCACAAGCTCCACCCCAGTGGGCTTGGGTATGAATCCTGCTCAGTCATTCACCACTTGTGAGGCTGTAGGCAATCCAGTTGACCTCATATCTCTAAACTTCCTTATCTGGAAGATGGGTATGATGTGGGTAATAACAGTATCTATCTACTGGATTGTAGTGAGGAGTATGAGGCAATTTGGGTCAAAGAGCTTGGGCCCCTGCAGGCAGGAGAGAGCTTAAAGGCAGAACACTTAGGGGCTCCCTGAGATAACCTGAGTCTCTACTTTTCTGTAAAATGAGGGCCCTAATGACTCCACAGCAGGCCATGATTAAAGAATACATGAGAGGGGGCTGGGAAGATAGCTCAGTAGAATAAGCACTTGCCTGGCAAGCTCAAAGGCCTGAATTCAATCCCTGGTTCCGGAAAAAAAAAAAAAAGAATGCATGACAAATCTTGCCTGATGCCTGGAGTACCTTAGGTACTTGATAAACCTTAGAGAAGTGAAAAAAGAGGTTGCCTCCCTCCTCAGGTGGGTGATAAGATAGAACACTTCCCAGGTCTTCCTACAGGACTGCTGCTGGCTTACTGCTGGAGCCGGGTGAGACCTCGTGAGAGGCAAAGGGTACATGGCTACAGTCTGATGCACACTGGGCATGGGAGGCTGGGCCCTCACTCTGACACCCAATCGCCTTACCTGTGAAGTGGGGGATAACTACTACATCATAAGCCTATTGTGAGACTGAAATAACGTAGCATATGGAAAGCCCGTTATGCAGAATATGGAACGTACAGTTCCCCATCTGCAGTAGAAGCAATTTAGAGCTGTGGGTCAGGCCACTGACTTCAGACTACAACTGATCTAGGTCACATCTGGGTTCTCCCCTTTCTCAGCAGACCCACTGAAGTCTAGCCAGTCACTCAAAATTGCTTAGTCTTGGTTTCCTCCTCTATAAAATGGAGATCATAATCGTCCTGCTTCATAGGATGTGGAAGGAAATTCAGCCTATGCAAATATTCAAATATATATATATATATATATATATATATATATATATATATATATATTTGGTACAGGGAATCAAACTCAGAACCTTGCACTTGCCAGGCAAGCACTTTGCAGCTGAGACATATCCTATATCCTTGTCCTGTCAATATATAGACAGTATTTTTAAAGATAATATTATTCTTTAAGGAGAGAGCCTAGGTCTTCAACTGCCAAATTCCTTCTCCCAACTCCCCTGTTTAGTTCTGACATATATACAGCTGGCACTCAATAAACCTTTCTCAATGAAGAAATCCTTAGTTTTCAGCAACTTTACATCATTATGGACAATCAGTCCTGGCAGGACTCTTGAAGATCATTTATTCCAACGACCCTATTATACAGATGGAAAAACCAAGGCCAAGAGCATGGAAGGCACAGTAGCTAGACTTAAGTTTGAGGCGATCCACCAAGAAGCTGGCACTCATGCTCACCAGATAGCCCTTTCTTTGAAGTTGCTGCAAAATGCAGGCAATTTCTCCCGAGACAGGGACACCTGCTGTGGCCTCCCCAGAATCTCCATAGCCTGGAACCTGTTCCTCCCACCTCCCTGGACTTGCCTCAGGCCCCACCTAGCTAGCTGCCCAGCCTGGCTCAGCCTGGCCCAGCCTGGCCCAGCCTGGCCCTGCTCCCCCGCCCCAACTGCTCTGCAGCCTAGGCCGGGTGGTCTGTAATTGCTTCCTGTCCTCACAAGCTCTGTTTGTTTGCTCTGTGGCTGCTTCCTAACACCCCAGCACACCGGAGGTGCTGACCAGCAGCAAGGGACTGCTCTCAGATGTTGGGCCAGCCCTCCCTAGACCCACCACCTGGAGCCCAGGAACCCAGCAAGACCCTGGAGACAACCCCCCCTTCAGCAATTCCATTCCCCTAACTTCCACCCCCCCACCCCACACACACACCAGCAGCTGGTCTTGTCCGGAGCTGAGAAAAAAGCCAAAAAATCAACAGGTGGTAGTCCACAATGAAGCCCTAGTAGGCCTTGAGTTGAAGAGGACACGAAGGACCCCTCCCCCAGCCCACTCCCACTCCCAGCCATAGCCCAGTAGAACTTAGGCAGAAGGTCCAAACATAAGGCCCCATTCCAGGGCTTTGAAATGTTTGAGGCTGGAATGTTTGAGGGGAAGGGAGGGATTACTAAAATTGTTCCTGAACATCTCTGAGGCAAAGATAAAAAAAGTCAATGTAGCAAAACAAAAGACCCAGGGTTCAAACCGGGCACTCTGGGTAGGATATTGAAGCAAGTGTTTTAGGGTTTCTCAGCTTTCATTCATTTTCTTATCTGTACAATGTGGCTAGCACACTAACACCCATCTCAGGGTTGCCTTGAGGTTAAAGGGAACCCTTGGCAAATACTAACTATAAGTCTTCTGGGTGAGGTAGATCAGGTGACCACCCACCACCCTGGTTTACTTGGGCCTAAGGAGTTTCTCAGAATGTGGACATTTCAGTGCACACACCTGGATAGTACTAAGAAAACTGAGCTAAAGTTGTCACACTAAGAGTTAGTGTCAAGCCAGGTGTGATGCCACAGGCCTGTAATCCCAGCTACTGGGGAGGAAAAAGGAAGAGGATTGCAAGTTCAAGATCAGCCTCCCTCAAAATAAAAAATAAAAAAAGGGATGGAGCTCAGTGTGAAGGCCTGGGGTTCAACCCCTAGTACTGAAAAACAAACAAGTAAATAAAAGCATTGCTGCCAGATGCTTAGCTACATATTGTTCCCAAAAGTAGGTGCCACAGCCAACTTCTGAAGACACTCTTGACTCTCCACCTAACTCCATAGTCCATGCTGCTAACAGGCAGGGAGCGGCCCAACTGCCCTCTCCTTGGAGCCCCTGGCCTCAGGCTCACACTGCCCCTCCTCAGCCCCAGAGGAAAGCGCTGTCAGCAGAATTCCTCACGTCCTGCTGCTTGGGCCATGTTTATCCAGCCCAGCAAACCTCCCCAGAAGTGCCTTGCAGCAGCCTCAGGAACATATTCAGAGCAAGAGAGGGATGACCACTTGACTGGGGCCACACCCCTCCAGTGAGGGAGGCCTGAGGGACAGTCAGTCCAAGCTGGAGAAAGAGAGGAAAGTGTGAACTCGGAGACGAAGGGTGATGGGGCAGAGGCCAGGAGGGTGCTCCTCAGGAGAAACAAGATGGTGATGGAGCAAGGAGCCAGAGGTGAGCAGGCCAGACCTGAGGCTGAGATGGGAAACCAGACCACGAAGCACAGGGCCATGTGGGAGATGACAAACCAATACAGAAGGAGGCAGAAATGAGAGAAAAGGAGGGGGGCAGCTACACGAGTGGGGGCAGGAGCAGCAGTGGGGAGACAAAAGCAGGAGTGGGGTGGTTGTGGCATGGAGGGGGAGGAAGCCAGAGGCAGCAGGGAGGCTGAGGGGCGGGCAGGACAGGGGCGGCTGCAGCGCCCCCACCACGTGCACAAAGCCAGCCCAGCCCAGCCAGGCTGTTTGCAGAAGGAAGCCAGCTCTGTGGTCAGGGCGCCCCAGGCCCGGCGGCGGCCACCCCCTGCACTTAATGAGATTCTTGTTCAGAGCTGCGGGAGATGGGGCCAGGCTGCAGAGGCCCCACAGCGCCTCTGCTCTCACCCGAAGGAGGCCTGGGCCAAGGCTGGGGCTCTGGCCGCTGAAGGGGCCATGCAGGAAAGCAGCCAGACAAAGACTAGCCGTGGATGCTGCCAGGCGTCGAAAACAGAGGGCACGGTGGTAGCGGAGGGGCCTTGTGCCCTCTGTCAAAGCTCTGGGCAGGAGGGTGAGAGGGAAAGTGCTGGGGGCCTGCCGGCAGAAAGGAGGCTAAGGTTCTATTATTGGTTCTGTCCCCCACCTTTCTGGGTATCCTCAAATAGGTGCTCTCTATTCTGTCTAGACCTGTTTCCCCATTTGCTCCAGATGGAGCAAACTCAGACAGGTGGGGAGTACGGAGAAACCAAGAGCATGTCCTGTCTCAGGGGACAGTTGCCACTCAGCTCCAGCTGTCTGTGGCCCTGTGGATGTGGGCCTAAGATTATGAAATCTTCAGAGTTCTTTTAGAAGTTATAAATCTGGATTTTTATGTAAAAATCTCCTGAATTTTAAATGATGGCAGCTAATTTCTTCTTATGTAGGCACTGTGTGAGCCAAAGAAAATACTTTGAAGGTTTTAAGTGGCCCATAAGGTACCTGTTTATGGCACTCTCTAAGGCCCACATCAGCTCTGACGAGCGCCACATGTATAGCTCCACCGACCTCCTGAGCCAAGTGCAAACCTCACCCAGATGCCATGGCCTTGGAGAGCAGGCTTCCCAATGGTCTGCTTATTGGCTCATGATCACGCTCCCCATCCACCTACCTAAACCCGGAAGGCTTTCTTCAGGAAACACATTCTGCATAGGCCCGGGCCATGCGATGTCATGCAAAGCCACAGCAATTCTGCTGTTTGTGCCCAGGCCCTGGCCAGTGGGAGGCAATACCCCAGAACCAGATCCACCCTGAATGCTGTCCTTCCTCTGGCACTCCCATTCCGGGCCACCTCCCGGTTGTGGCAGGAATGAGAAGGGGAGGAGGAATGAAGAGGGAGGGGGCGGAGTGTCCTGGTGAGTGCTGAGAATGGGCCTTCCCCAGACCTTTTCATCCCCACCCTTCCCACTCCACAGCCCACGAAGGCCAGCCAAGCATGACAAGGGTTAATTGGATACCCCCAGCTGGAATCATAGAATCATGGGGCTGGAACGGACCTTGGAGGTAATCCGTCAGGAGGAGAGGAGAGATTTTAATTACCCAATTCAGCTGGATTGGAAGCACCCCAGCTCCCACCCCCAACCAAGTTGGTAGAGGAGGAGAGGGTCAGAGGGCTGCCAGGCTAAGAGTCCCTGAAGGGTAGAGCCTGATTGTATGGGTCACACTATGAACAGCACTATCCCCACTTTATAAAGCCTGGCTTCGGGATGGGCACACAGCCTTTGGTTGAATGACTGGCCAACAAGCAGAGTGACAGGACCCTGAACCAGGAGGGAAATGACCAGGGCTCTAGGACAAGCTCCATTTAAGGTTGCATAGCTAGGTAGAAGCTGCACTGAGCCCTTTTGTGGAGGGCTCAAGCAGGAGCCTCAAGCACATCCAGGAGGGAGAAGCCAACCACTGGGCTCTCATGGCAGCAGACCTTGAGCCTCTTGACTCCCTAGTCCAGCCTGTGCTGCCCACTCTCCTGAGCTCCATTCACAGTACGACACTATACAAGAAAGCTTCTCCCGGCTATTTGGAGAGGATGAGCTGAAAAGGCAGTGAGAAGACACAGGAAGGACTTCCTAGAAGTGAAACTTCCCAGAAAGGTAGGCAGACTCTGGAGTCTCCTACCGTGGCAACCTGGAAGCCGTGTGGAGGGGGAGAGAGTAACCTTAGAGCTAGACAAGGACAGAATGATTGGCATTTCCACCTGTGTCTCTAACCTCAGAGCTCAGTACTGGGAGAAAGTGATTCTCAGCATTGGGAAGGTGTCAACCCATCAATTCCTGCCTACTAGTCAGGAGCTATGGAGCCAAGGAATGCTCGCAGCCCAGGGGGAGACTGCTGGTTAGACATAGCTACTCAGCGTCACTGCAGCCTTTGTTCCCAGCAGCCACTCCAGGGGCAGAGTCCAGAGGAGGTCAACCTGGTTTCACTCTGTGGACCCCGAAGTTAAAGCTGGCTCCTCTGCTCAGAGCCCAAGATGGATCGGGGACTAGGCCAAAGGACAATAAAGGGGCTTGAGGTGGGGCAGGGCCATTGGGGGAGCCACATGTCTCCACACCCAGGCAGAGGAAAGTGACAAAGGCATAGAACTCTCTTCAGAACTGTCAATATTACTTTAAAGGGTGTTCATGGTTCCTTTATTCTTCACTTTAAATGTCCTGAGGGTGTAATAACATTTTTAAGTGGCATCTTCTATGGGGAAGTTCCCATTGGCTACAGGCCCAGTCTATGCCATTTCCACCCCAGCCCCTTTCCTATAGCCCAGCAGGGAGAGTAAAACTTGATCTCACTGGTAGTCCCCCTTGATATCAATCCTCCATCTTTTCTGCTGCAACACCAGCTCACTTTCTTCCTACCCTGCCCCAAATGGAAATGAAGTCCTCTTTGGCCCCTGAAATGAATAAAGCTTCAATTAAAAAATGAGTGTTGTTCAGGAGGTAATCCCGGCACCTTGCCACCCATCATTCCCTGCCCCAGCTCTCTCCATCACGTTCCCTCTTTGGAACTGGCCTGGGCTATGGGGATTAAAGGAAAAGCAGAGGATGAGTCAGGCTGAGTGGACCCAAGGAAAGTGAGGAGGGGTGGAGCTGGGTGGCCCTGGGGCTGAGTCATAGTAAACCTAAACCACTGGCTGTTTGAGCCCAGATTATAAATTGTTAATCGGTTTGGGGCTTACACATCCACTAATGAATTTCTCTCTATTCCCAGAAGGTCTGTCTGTCCAGAGCCATAAGCCTCCCTGGCAGAGGGCCAAGCAAGGAGCTCCTGGGGCTGGGGAAAGCTCTCTGGATCCTCCAGGCCTGCTCCTCCTAGTCCCCTTTCTTCCACTTTGCTTGCAGGAGAAGGGGAACAGAGAGGTTTGGGCCAGCTGGGGGGGTCACAGGACCTCAGAGCTTAAGGATTCTGTAAAAGGATGGAAGAGAAACACCTCCCCTAGCCTAATGTGTAATAGTAGGTGATTGGTTCACAAGCCTTATTCTCTTTTTCTGCCTCTCATTACCCAGAGAAATAGGCCTAGCCACTCTCAGAATCTAAGAGAGAAGGATCACAAATGGCAGCACAGGTCTGCGGGTGCTGCACATGGGTCAAGTACTTTTCCAGCATGTGCCAGGCTCTGAGTTTCATCCCCACACTGATGGGGAAAAAAAGAGGATGAATGAATTTGGGTGAGAAATGAAAAGCTTCCTGTTTAGGCCTGTGAACCTAGAAGGCTATAGAAACTCTGACCTTTAGGTTTTATTTTTAATGTCAACAGTTCCTGTTGCCACCTGCCTGCAGCCCTAGAGGCAGGGTCTACTTGGATAGAGTACCCTGCTTAGTGCATCTTGTGGACTAAGGACAATGGCGTTGCATAGTAAGGGAGGTCCCATGTCACTGCCACTGGAAGTAGACCTATTGCAGTATCTATATATAGGTGGCCATAGCCATCAGGACCTTGAGCCATGGCTCTGCCAGCTGCTGTAACACTCTTCCCTCACTCTGCCTGCCACCATACAGAGCTGTGGTTCTGGTACTAAATGTGCAGGGTATGGGGTGAGATTCAAAAAAAAACTAAGATAGAGTCCACAGAGTGCTTGCGTGTCGGCAGAGGGAGGCCAAAGGGGATCAACTGAAGGGCAGAGTGTGTTCCAGGAAGGACGCCCCAGCAGGCCAATCAGTGCTTCCTTGTGGGACCTTCAACCAGAGCCACAGCTGCAAAGGTGTTGCAGATTCACCTGTCAGTGCTGCTGGCACTGAGCTCCCTACCTAAACTTTGTTATGCACTGGTTAAAATAATTTTCAACTCTGCAGCTTAAAATCACTTCTCATGGTTCATTTCTCTTCTGACACTCTAAAGGTTCCATAAGTTCAAGACCTTGCTGGGAAGTTCATCCTTCTATCTAACCCATGTCTTATGTATCCTTTGGTTCTACCTACCCATAATATCCAGAGAAGCTAGAGCAGAATGGACCTTCACATTGTACCTGGTGATGTAGAAATGGTGGGCAGTGAGAACTGATTCTTCTCTCTCAGCCTCCGTGTCTTCATTTGTACAATGAGAAGACCTGGATTCAACATTTTCCAAGTGCTCACTCATAGTTAAGTTCCTCTTGCTTACTGTGGAACAGATAAGTACCAATCTTCATGGGTGGTGGTACAGTAGAAAAGATCTGGCAGGGGGCCAGGGAGATGGCTCAGTGGAATAAGCACTTCCCTGGCAAGCGCAAGGACCTGAGTTCAATCCCCGGTTCCAAAAAAAAAAAAAAAAAAAGAAAAGAAAAGATCTGGCAGACGGTGTCAAGGACTGTAACCCTATTGCTTGGAGGGGCTATGGTTTTCCCTTGCAGCCTGTTACTGACTAGCTGCATGACCTCGAGTAAATGGCTTGATCCACCTGAACTCAGTCTTGCCATCTACAGCATGGGATGAGAGTTGGCAAGAAGCCACATTAGATATAGTCTCTATCTTTATAAAGCCAGTCTGGTTGTTGTTTGTGAGCCACAGCAAGGTAAGCCCAGTTCTGTTCAATCCCAGCCTCCATGGCCTTAACCTACTCCTCTCTGTTAGTCTCCCAACAGATGCCAACCTCAAATGCTCATGTTCCTCAGGGTGTGGATGGGTACAGCCCGGGCCTATAGCACGGCTCTTCTGGAGCAGTGCTCTGGCCAGAGGTCCCACCAATCCAGGGCTAGATGAGAGCCTATGTGGTCCTCCACCTCAGAGAGAACAGGTCTACTGGAGGCAACAGAAATCAGAAGAGGCCAGGGAGATAGCTCCATAGAATAAGCTCTTACCCAACAAGTGCAAGGGCCTGAGTTCAATCCCCGGTTCCAAAGGAAAAAAAAAAAAAGAGGAGCTAATGGCTCCTCCATTAAGGCTGGTGGAACAGAATAGAACAGACTGGATAACTTTAATGACAGACATTTATTTCTCATATACTAGAGGGTGGGAAGTCCAAGATCACAGGGCTGACAGATTTGGTATTTGAAGTTCCTGCTTCTAGTTTGTATTATCTCTCTTCATGTGTCCTCACATGAAGCATGGAGAGAAAGCCAGCTTTGTGATTTTTCTTCTTACAAGGACACTAATCCTGCTGTGAGGGCCCCACTCTCCTGATCTAATCACCTGCCACAGACCCTACCCCAAAATGCCATTATATGAGGGATTAGGGTTTCAACGTATGAGTTTGGAGGCATGAGGGGAGATAAAAACATTCAGTGCATAGCACTCATCTACCTTCCCCTGCTATTCATTAAGATATCAAGAAAATAAGATCTTGGGGGCCTGCTGGTTAGCTCAGTTGTTTAAGCACCTGCTCATGCAAATACAGTCAGGTACAGGATACTGTGGTTCAATCCCCACTTCCCCCTGCCTTACCAGACCCACCTTTAAGGCAGCCTGAGTCAACCAAAA